AAAGGAAGACTTTGAAACAGAACGAACTAAAATCCTCAGAAACAGTGGATCTGGATTGCATTTCTGTTATTCAGATGGTCTTCTCTCCCTCCTGGTATCTGATTTTCTCTTTTCAGTCCTTAGCTCTTTATTTAATGAATTTGAGGGCACTAAGCAATATTAGGAATCCTGGTATGTTACTGTGGGTTAATTCACTGGACTGAAAAGTCAGTTTGAACCACAAGTTCGGCAATTCAAGCTCACCAGACACTCCTCAGAAACCCTATACAGGATCACTATGGGTCAGAACTGACTTAGAGACACTTAATAATAACAAAACAAGTAATATTAAGAATAATCATGATCATACCAAATCCAAGCCAACCCCACTGCCATTGATTCAATTCTGACTCCGAGCAAACCCTGAGTAGGGTTTCCGAGACTGTGCATTTTTACAGGAGCAGACAGCCTCTTTCTTGCTCAGAGTGGCTGATGGATTTGAATTACCTACTTAAAGGTTAGGAGCCCAACCCACAACACCACAAGTGCTCTTATAAAAAAGAATAGTAATGAAAATAATTATAATAAAATGGCCAACATTTACTGAAAACTGATTATGTGTCAGGCACTATAGTGAATGCTTTGCATATATAATTTAATTCTTCCAACAACTGTTTAAATTGCAGTCATTATTTTAGATGGATTGGAGACTCAGAGAAGGGACAAGTAACTTTTCTAAGACCAGACAACTGACAAGTGACAGAGGCAGTATTTGAATCTAGATGGGATCTGATCAACAACCTACAGTATAAGAAGTCAATCCAGAATTCTAATATTTTGCAGATGATATGTGTTTTTAAAAGGAGTCCTGAAAATTGAAAAGGAATGGGAAGGTGGATGGAATGGAAATAGGAATCCTAGGGAGGAAGTGGGTAACTGTTGTTACATGGAGGGGATTGCAATCATTGAGATGAAACAAAGTGTATGATTTGTTGAATGTAAAGCTGATGTCTGTAAACCTTCACTCAATTCACAATAAAAAGTTAAAAAAAAAAAAAGTCCTCTAGAGTAGTTACACTCTGACACTCATGGGATCACTATGAGTTGGAATTAAAGGCAACTGGTTCATTAAGCACCTACTGCTGTGGAGTTGATTCTGACTGATAGCAAACCCATTAGACGAAGTAAAACTGGTGCATAGAGTTTGTAACTCTGTAAAACTCTTCTTTCTTTCCTGTCTTTATAATGACCTTAACTTTCTTCCACTGTGATGTTCTTGATCCCACAACTTTTTAGTCTTGATCATTAATGTTTAGTGCATCATATCTGTTCTTAATTCAGATGGGATATGTTCAAAGTTAGACTTTGACTTTCATGGACTTGTAATAATTTTCTTCAGCTTCAGCCTGAACTTGCATATAAGCAACTCATGGTCTGTTCCACACTCTGCTAGAAGAACAAATAAATCTGTGTTAGAAGAAGTACAGCCGGAATGCTCCTTAGAAGCAAGGATGGTGAGATTTGTCTCCTACAGTGAACATGTTGTTAGTAGGGGCCAGTCCCTGGAGAAGAAAATTGTGCTTGGAAAAGTGGATGGTCAGCGAAAAAGAGAACCCTCAACAGAATGGATTGACACAGTGGTAGCACCAATGCGTTCAAACATAGTGGGTACACTCCACAGCCCAATTATGAAGGAATGTTTGCAGCTGTTTCTTCTTATTTTCATTTCCCTCCCCATGGCAAATGAAAGTCATGAATGATTTCCTCCATTTTTGTCATTAAAGTCAGCTGTACTTTGAGGAAGCATCTCTTCCCCAGTCATATTTAAGTGCTTTCCAACCTGAGGGACTCATTGTTGGCTCTCTGTCAGACAATGTCCTGCTGGTATTGGTATTCATAAGGTTTTCTGTTGTGCATATCATCGCAGTGAGTCAGAACCGACTTGATGGCACCTAACAACAACAAATAAAAAACATAGAAGAATTGATGCATTTGAGTTATGGTGTTAGAGGAGAATATTAAAAGTGCCATGAAGTATAGCTAGAATGGTCCTTAGAAGCCATGATGGCCAGATACTGTCATTCCTGCTTCAGACATATCAGGAGGAACTAGTCCATGGAGAAGGACATCATGCTTGTGAAAGTGGAGGGTCTGCAAAAAACAGGAAGACTCCCCAATAAGATGGATTGGCACAGTGGCAGCAGCAGTGGGCTCAAGGGTAGCAAGGATTGTGAGGTTGGTGCAGACTGGACAGTGTTATGTTTTGTTATGCATAAGGTCGCTATGAATCAGAACTGACTTGATGGCACCTAAACAGCAACAGGAAGCCTAAAAATACTTTATGAAGGTTTTACTCTTTAGTGAAGTTGACTGCCTTTAAAATTTGTAGAACTCTTGTTGGCTGTATTTCTTCCAAAACAGAGTTGTTTTTTGTTCTAGGAGTCTATGGTACTTTCAATATTCTTCACTAATATCATAATTCAAATGTATCAATTCATGTCAGGTCCTCCTTATTCATTATCCAACTTTCACATACACATGCGAGATTAAAAATAGTTTCACTTAAACAGTTGCTCTTTTGTTATACTTGCAGTAGGTACTTTTTGAAAGAAGTATCACTCTTCCTCTCCGAAGCCTGAATTTCAATCTAGTCTGTTGGTCCTGTCAGGACATGTAAGTTCTTTGGACCTGATTCTTCAGTTCTTAGCAGGCTTTTCTACTGCTCTGACTTCATCTTGCTTGACTTTGGATCTTCTCAGACCTTGGGTCCACCTACTCTGATGGTGGATTGATTCTTATCAGTCCGCCCTCACCTGTCCCATCATAAGGCCCTCCTAGGCACGATGAATCTTACTGACTTTTCTGGAAGGCATTCTTATTTTTCATTTGGCTTCAAAGGTTTGAAGTGAGTTGGGAAGAGTTTGGCATTGATAAAAGATGGTGGTGGTGGTGGTTGTGTGATATTGAGTTGGTTCTGACTCATAGCAACCCTGTATAGAGTTTTCCAGACTATAGATCTTTAAGGGATTGGAAAGCCTCATCTTTTTCTCGAAGAGCCACTGGTGGTGGATTTCTACTGCTGACCTTGCAACTAGCAGCCCAAGGAGTAACCCTAGACTACCAGTGCTCCTTTGATAAAAAGATAAGACCATTCAATAGCAACTTTGCACAACCAGCTATTTATGGGGGCAGATGCTTTGACAGTCATTTGCAGGGAGTAGTCTCCCACAACAGAATGTTTTCTGGTGGCATTTGGCAGCAAGGAGAATCAGAAGGGGGAGGGGGTATGAAACCCCCAGAAAAGAGGGCACTGAAATGGCAGAAATCTTGCATGTCTGTAAGTGATGCCCCCCTGCATTAAGTTGGGGAGATGCTGAGTCACAGAGCTCTAAAGGCAGTAGTAGCACCTTAGGGCCCTTACAACTACAGACATTCCTCACTTTATTGTGCTTCACTTTATTGCGTGTCACAAATACTGCATGTTTTTACAAATTGAAGGTTTGTGGTACACAATGCTATGTCGAGTAAGTCTATAGGCACCATTTTTCCAACAGTATGTGCTCACTTGGCGTCACATTTGGTAATACCCATGATATCTCAAACTTTTCCATAATGCTGTCGACTCATTTTATGGTAATGGTCTTGAACCCAACCTGCACTATCACCAAGGTATGTCCGTGCAGGGTTTTATCTTACCGAGGTGTCCTGGTGTAGTGCTGTGGGTTAATGTGCCAGACTGCAAAGTTGTTTGAACTGCAAGGTTGGCAGTTCAAGCTCACCAACTGCTCCTCGGAAACCCTATATAGGGTCACTATGGGTCAGAACTGCCTCAATGGCACTTCACAACAACAACAAGGAGTCCTGGTGTGGTACTGTAGGATACGAACTGAACTGATAACCACAAGATAAGTGTTTCAAGTCCACCAACAGCTACTCAGAAACCCAATACAAGAATTCTACGAACCAGAACTGACTCTCTGGCACTTAACAGTAGCAAGGCTAATAGACGGTGGATATAGTTTAGTGGGACATATAAAGCTGATAGCATCTAAGTAGATACAAATTGGCTTCATTTGGTTATTTTTAAATAATTAAATGCATAGAAGTTTTAGTTTGGTGCCGGTAGGGTTTTTGATCTATCAGACCTCAGTTTAGTTGTTGTTGTTAAGTGTTGTCAAGTCAGTTCCGACCCATAGTAGTGACCCTGTGCAGGGTTTCCTAGGAGTGGCTGTTGAGCTTGCACCACTGACTTTATAGCTCAGTATGACTCTGTAGTCCAATATGCTATGAAGAAGTAAACTTGCAGTCGATACATAGAAGCCATTTTGGGCTAATTTATATAACTAGGTTTTATCCTTGTTTGTGGGTGTCCTATATGGCATAGTAGGATAAGCACTAGGCCTCAAGGTCAATTTGAAACTGCAAGGTGACAATAGAGAAAAAGGGAGTCCCTTAATCTCATTTGACTTTTGGTTTTGAAATGATGTGTAATTCACAATGTCCCTGTAATTACAGAAAGGTTAACGAATTCTCCCAAATATATTACATTAAGTAGAACTCTACAGCAACAGACATCACTTTTTGGAATAAATGTTGAGTTATATTGAAAGGAGAATGTCTAGTGTAGTATCCTGAGTTTACATGCAAAGGAGAATATAAAGAATCGAGTGTTAAAACTAGGAAACAAGTGATATATAATTGAGATAATAAAATTAGGGGGAAAAAAAGATATATAGAATCTAGATAATGGAGTTCCCTAAATTCCAATTGACTTGACCTGTTCACATTGATTCAGTCAAGTGATGATCAGATTTCCCTTTTAATAGGCCCTGTTGAAACAGAACTGTAAAATGACTGACATTATTCATCCAACTTAAGAAGGAAATCAGTGTTACATTTACATTTGTGTCTGTTGCAACTGGCTTCTATTTCAAGTACACACATAAACAAAGATGAGCTAAATGGTCTGAGACTTATGTTGTGTTTACTTGTCTCCAAACCTTTTTTTTTTTTTTTTTTAGATTTGCTTGGAATTGTAGAAGAAATCCTCATAAGCCTCCCAGAAAACATTACTGTTTGGGGGATGAAAGATTCTGTTCCACAAGGTGTAATTTCACTCAAAGAAAAACTGAGCACAGCATCTGAAGAGCCTATACCACACAGATACCATGGTGCCTCAAGCCTCAAGTCTAATTATCTGTATATTTTCACATCAGGAACAACAGGTATGACCAACTTCTCCCTAAGAATTTAAAAAGAGTGTAAAGTATTTGCAAAGTAGGTGTTAGGCAACTTTCTGTCAGATGTAATTATTAAACATCTGACAAAGTATGCATATAAAATGTCAGCTTCTTAAATCCTAGACCTTTCAAACTGCCTTGAAAAGTTAATTGCTTAATCTTTGTAAGTCACCATGTTCACATGAGTTCTGCCTCTTTTAAAAGATGTCCTAAAAAGTTCGTTGGTATAAAGGGTAGGAGTTCCAGGGTGGCACAAATGGTTAAGCACTGGGCTACTAAGTGAAACCTGTATGGTGTGAACTCACAGAGAGGCACTTTAGAAGACTGAACTGCCCATCTACTTTTGTAAGATCACAGCCATGGGTCCTTTTGCCAAGTCCTGGGTGTCTGCTCTTCCTCCTCTCTCCTCTCCCAGCAGCTGACCTGGGGACCCCAGTAAGAAGTCAGGATCATGTTCTGTCACAAGCTGACAGCCTTCAACTACCATAACCTTACTGACTTTAACTGTAAAGGTGAAACAGAGTTTAGGAATTTTATTGTTTGCCTTAAAGACCAGAAAATCACACACTACAAGATTGAAGACAGAGGGAATTTAAAAAACACCCACAGCAGTGATTGGCCCAGCTTCTTTGAAACATATCTCATAGATATTAACTGTCCTTTCAAGATTCAAAATCCACAGGAAGCATTTGACTGGCTTCTTGGCTTAGCTGCTAGACTTGAATATGGAGATAATGCTGGAAAAAGACTCAGTACCAGATTTAATACAAAACAATGCTTATAAAACAACTAAAACTGCAGAGCCATTAATCAATTTGAATGTAAATAATCCTGATTTTAAGGCTGGGGTAAAATGGCTTTGGCAAACCTTCATATTCAATATAATGATGATTGCCTGATAATATTAAAGGCAATTCGCACAGAATGCTGTTGCTAATATCAAATAAAAGAGGGCTTATCTGTTGCATTAGACAAGCATAATCTTAGTTTTGACACAGGAGATGCAGTTCTTGATGAAGCTGCTCAAATCCAGTGATTGCTGCTTATAAAATAACTCAAAGAGAGTTGCAGACAAAAATTAATGAAGCTGTGGTAGCTGTTCAGTCCATTGCAGATTCACAGATTGGGAAAAATTGGAAGATGAATATTTCAGGATTTCAGTGTCTCATAGTACAGTTGGGGACTATGTACATTTCTGGCATGTGTTTGGAGATCTAATGTCATATTTTCAAAGGGAGGAATCCCAGAAAATTGACTGTTCTAAAGATTTACCATCATTGGTTTTAAGAATAAAATATAGGGAGAACAATCATTGCTTTCTAGAATAAAATATATAGAGAACAATATAAAACAATATAAAATAGAGAGAGAACATCATTGCTTTCTAGAATAAAATATAGAGAGAACAATATAAAAACTGACCTTTGACTGTCAGCTCATATTGAAAAGTTCAAATAAAAAAAAAACAAAAAAAAAAAAAAAAAAATGAACAAGCAAACTACTGACTAAAAGCTTTGTATGCCGAGTAAAACTTGTTACTGCCTAGGATATTTTGTTGGGGAATCCATGATTTTTACTTACAGGCTATTCAGACTTCTCAGGCAGGAATTTTGAAGGACAAAAGTCTACCTATGATGTCTTTGTAGCCAAGTGTTAGAAAGCACTCAAAAAATTATGTTAACTTTCTCTTATATTCCTCTGATTTTTTTCAACCTCGATTCTTCCTGGTGCTTCCAGAGGGTCATCTTCTCCATAAAATAAACCTCAGCTCTTCTGGAGGAAGGATGCAATCTAGAGCTCTAATTACTTCGTACATAGATTTTCCCAAGCTCTTTACTTATAGGTCTACATTTATTGCCTACTCTCTCATTATATGATATGCCCGTTTCGGAGCCTTTCTTGGATTCTCAGAGGGCAATTCCGCTTTCTTAAGGGTATCACCATAAGTTTCAGCTTCTTGGGTTGACTCTGAGTTATTACTCCTATCCATATTCTTTTCTAAAATTTTGCTACTGCCATCTCCATTTCCATAATTTTTGTCTGCTAACTTCTACTTCTATTTAGTATTCTTTGTGTTTGGTTAGATAACTTCAAGAATTTATATGAAAGACCCTTTATCCCTGTACAAAATAGCCACTCATTCACCTGCTGATTTAAGTAGTGACCACCATCACCAATGGCCAATGCATTTACTTAAATTTATGTTGAACACATGTGTGTCAGAGCAGAACTGTACTCTACATGGTTTTCAGTAGTAACTTTTTCAGAAGAAAATTGGCAGTTTTTTCTTCCAAGATGTTTTTGGGTGGACTAGAACCTCCAACTTTTTGGTTAGCAACTGAGCCTATTAACCATATGTACCACTCAGGGGTTCCTCTATAAGTAAAGGGAGGAAAATGAGATCTCTGCCTAATGTAGCTGTGCTTGAGAGCCAGCTACCACCACCATCTAACCTTGCATTTCCTTTTGGTTCTTTTACTTCCCTTTTATGAATTATGTTACTTTATAAGAATCCCTACTTTCCACCTCGGAATATTTTTTTTTCTCTTTGGTTACGTTACCAATATTGAGTCCTGGTGTGGCACTGTAAGATAAGTACTGGATTGCTAAACATAAGGTTGGTGGTTCAAACCCACCAGTCGCTCCTCAGAAATCCCTGTAAGGGATCATTCTGAGTCAGAACAGATTCTACTGCACTTAACTTGTTACCATTGCCTTTGGTATTATCAATTCTTCCTACTGCCTCTTAATCCTCTTAGACAGCCCAATAGCCCACTCAGAGTTAGAGACATCAAGTTTCAATGTCAGGAATTCTTGAAAGTTTAGAAGAGTGAAGGATTTCAGAGACAGCATGTCCTTTCCTGCCTTAAAAGAAATGAAATTAAAGTTGAGATGGGTTACTATGGCTTCATGAATTTGAGAAAGGCCAGGACCATAATTACCAAGGTTTCTGCACTACTGGACTTCACAATTACTTTAATATGTTAATGTAATTTCTGAAATTTTAAGAGTGAAATTTAGAATTCATATTTCTTTTATTCATTTCTTCCTATTCTTCTTTCCTTCTTTCAAACCCTAAGAACCTTTAGTAAATTTCAATTTCCAGAGAAGCTGGTATTTATTGTCTTCTATAGCATAGTGGTTACGAATTGGGCTGCAAACTGCAAGGTCAGCAGTTCGAAACTACCACCTGTTCCACGGGAGAAAGATTAAGGCTTTCTGATGCTGTAAAGATTTACAGCCTCGGAAACCCTGTACAGGGTCGCTATGAGTCAGAACCAACTCCATGGCACATAACAACAACAACATAAAAAAATTGAGTTCCTAGACAGTATGTAAGTCAATGAGATCTTTATTCACATAAGCACGTAGGTGGAGAATAACTAGATAAAATATTCCATCCCCCCACACACACACACACACTTTTTTTGTTCTTGACAAGCTTCCACTTGAAAAGTTAAAGTTGAGTTTGCATGAAATACAAGAACGTACACGTAGTTGAAAATAAGAAACTGGATTTACACAGGTAGGAACTTCTATAAAGCAGGACAAGTATAAATATTTGTTCCTCTAGATGTGAGAAAAATATTACATTCTCAGCAATCAAGGCTAAAATGCTAACTCAACATATCAGTACATGATGTTGGGGAGAAAGTCTGGAGAAATTCTCTATGCATGTGGATGACAGTAAAATCTCAGTAGATTTTACCTTTCAGAAATTGCCACCGAGACACCTTTTTGAGTAGATGAATGAGCCTTAGTTAGCATAATGAGCACAGTGATGTACACTTTATGTATGAGATCACATCAGGTCCAGTTAATGAAAATGGAGCACATATTTAATTTTAATATTCAAGCAAGTGCACAATAAGGTGGACTTTAAGCTTAGCTTAGTAAGCTAGTTACTCTTGAAACAATTCTGACTCATGGTGTATCAGAGTACAATGTACTCCATGGGGTTTTTTTTTGTACTTTACTGACTGCTACTCATCATTCCTTATCTATTTACTTGTTTCCTAGACATCTAATGAATTTTCCTTGTCAACATAGCACTTCATAATGCAAAACAACTTTATCGATGAGGTAGATGAAACAGGATATGACTAACATGCTGTCTAAACAAATAACATTAATTTCAAGGTATAATGCTGTTCATTGGTAAGGAATTTAGGTAGAATCGTATGAAATTGCTGATGTTCAACCATAAAAATAGTTATTTGACATGGGTCACCCTATTATATATTACTGGATGAATTTATTATGTTGATACTATAAATACTGATTATGAGGGGGCTTCAAAAGTTCAGGGGGAAAAATCCATGATCTTTTAATTCTGGTTTTCTATGAACCTTTTGAAGCCTCCTTGTATATGAAAACATTTAAACTAACAAGAGTAAGTAATAACAATAGTAGGTGTCTTAGTTACCATGTGTTGATATAACATAAATACCACGAGTGGGTGGCTTCAACAAACAGAAATGTATTTTCTCACAGTTAAGAGGCTAGAAATCTGAATTCAAGGTGTCAGCCCTTGGGGAAGAGTCTCTCGTTGTCAGCTGTGGGGGAAGGTCCTTGTCTTTTCAGTTTGTTTCCTGGTTCCTTGGAGATCTCTGTGTGGATTCTCTCATACTCAAGACAGAATCCACATTTGTATTACAGTTACAGTTGTAACTGTCCAGTGGAAAATTTTTATTTAAAATATAATTTAGTTTAGATTGTGATTTGCATCAGTTTGGTTGTACATATTCAGATTTGGAGCATTTTGCTCATTCTTAAAGCACAAAAAAAACTACGTAATTTTTAAATTTTGGTCTTTCTGGATGTATCTAGGATTGTAGAAACAGAAGTAACTCACTGGTGCATGCCCCCCTTATAAGATGCACTGATATATTTTGTCTCATTTATTGTTGTACTTGAGATCAACCTTGTTGTCGTTAAGTGCCACTGTGCTGCTTCCAACTCACAGTGATCCTGTATAGGGTTTCCAAGGAGAGACTGGTGAATTTGAACCACCAACCTTGTGGTTCAAATAACCTTATGGTCTAGTGCTTATTCTGTAGTGCCACACCAGGACTTCAATATCAACATAGCCTTCCTTTTTATTACTTACACACACACACACACACACATATATATATATATATATTTTTTTTTCTTTTCTTTTCTTTTTATTCCAGGTCTTCCTAAAGCTGCTGTGATCACTCAGTTGCAGGCTATAAAGGGTTCTGCTGGATTGTGGGCATTTGGTTGTACAGCTGATGATATCATTTATATACCCCTCCCTCTTTATCATAGTTCGGGATCTCTTCTGGGAATTGGTGGATGTATTGAGTTAGGTAAGTTTTGATTTTCTTTTTGATAAATTTTTTAAATGTCTAGTAACGATAATTTGTGATCATTACATTTGAAACCTTTCTATAGAATTCAGAATGCTTCTATGCATATTATATATTTGTAACATAATATTTATTTAAGGGAGACATTTTTATGGCATGATTCAGTGTGTTTCTGAAGTGGGAAAAGCACTTCCCTGGGATATTTGTTATTTGATTTATTGTATATGGTGTGTGCCATTACATGTGAGTTTCTCACTTCCCAGTTCCTGCTAATTTTTTACTTAATTTTACCTAATTTTCTTACTTAATTCTTGCTGTCAAGAGTTTAAGAAGTAGTAGTTCCTTGCTGTTGCTCTTAAGTGTAGACGAGTTGGTTCCAACCCACAGGAACCCTGTATAGGGCTTCCAAGGGGCTGCTGGTGAGTTTGAACCAACAACCTTGTGGTCCAGCATCACAGGAGATGAAAATCATTTATAATGTGTGGCATCCTTATGTACAGAGAACAATATTCTAAACAGTATCCCCAAAACCAATAAACTGACTCCACTGGGCATTTCTTGCAGTCTGTTTCATTGAAGGAGTTCTGGTGTGGTGCAATGGGTTAAAGTGTTAGACTGCGAAGTCAGTTTGAACCACAAGGTCGGTGGTTCAATCTTACCAGCTGCTCATTAGAAACCCTATACAAGGTTGCTATGGGTTAGAATTGACTCAACAGCATTTAACAACAACAACAGCAATTTCATTGAAAGCCAGAGTCATAACACAACAATGCAGATCAGTGATGGAATTTCTCTGATAGTTCAGAAAACAAGGCCCAATAAAGGAGTTTTCTGATAATTTCCTTTGATCCAAGATAGAGCTTGGGACATCTGGAGGAGTAAATCAATTCACTGCTTTTATACAATCTTCCATAAAAATCAGGTATCATCAGCAGAATGCTTCAAGGTGACATTCTCTGATAAACAAAAGGAGAATGAGTATCCTGGTGTCGGTTATAGCTCACTACAGGCTACTGATATGATCAACATTCCCCAACAATATGAAAAAGCTCTGGGATACAGAACACCTGGCACAATATTAGGTTAGTTAGGCCATATCCAAGTAAGAAGGGTTCTGAATCTAATCACTTCTAGCTATAAAAAGAACAGATTAAATATAGAGATATTCACACACAGGGGAGGACAGATACATGAGAATCACAAAGGAGCCAATTATTCTCCAGGGCTACTGATAAGAAAGGAATCTACCTGTAGCCTCCCAAACTCTGAAAAATAAATTTCTTTAATGCTACCAACTGATGGTACTTTGTGTTATGGTTACGCTTGTTATTGTTATTGTTATGTGCCATGGAGTCGTTCTGACTCATAGCAACCCTGTACAGGGTAACTAAAATAGGGAGGGAATGTATAAGATGTTTTTATGAAAATTAAGGATCTCAACAAGTCTCTAGCATAAATGGATGAACTCTAAACTGTTATATGAAAATTGACCAGGAGAGAATATCATCTCAAAGAACTTACCTGGTGAATACATTTATTCGAGACTATGTTAAGGTAATTATGGCCTAGACATCTTTAAAGAGGACATTAATACACAGTGACTAGTGCTTCTAAGAAATTATTATTTTTGAGCAACATAGTTTTATGATGGATTTATCTACAAGGATGAATTAATTGATAATTATATACCTTTTAAAGTAAATAGTTTGAATTAGTTATTATGAGCCTAACTAATTTAGGCTCATATTAATTTAGAAGGAGCACTGGTAGCATTGTTGTTGTTGTTGTTGT